TTTTTCCACTTTTTTTTTATTTTAACCTCGTTGCTGGAAGGAGAGGGGGGGGGGCTTTGGTGAAATATCAGGGATCCACACAGACCCTTGACCTCCCTTTTTAGACAAACAAAAGGAATTGAGGACACAAACTCTTTTCTGCAGCCTCAGCTGCTCTACAAAATAAGTGAAAGGGAAGTGCTCTGTACAGAGGTATGAACTGAATGCGATTTGCACAGGAATGCGGTGCGGTTTCCTGTTTGAACCCAAGCTTTTCATAGTGACTATAGCCTGAGGTCACACAGGAGCACCGGGGGAAATCTCCCTACATGAGGAGTTCCACCAGCTCCAGCTCCCGATCCCACTGTGGACATCAGTGGCTGCAGCTTGGGCACCTCCTGACTCTTACATGGCTTTGTTCCCCACCTCTTCAGCGGCTCTCTTCCTCAGCCTCTGGCGGTTTGCTGGTGGAACCTGTCATGCAGGGAGGTTTCCCCTACCCCTCCTGTGTGAACTCAAAGTCAAGTGACAAGCTTGGGTTCACACAGGAGCTGTGACAGAAACCACATGCAATTCTTTGCAATGCAATTTGAGCCCATTCATTTTGTATGGGCTCAAATCGCACTGCAAAGGTATCGGTTATCGGAGTGTTTGCACGAGTACTAAGAATTGGTGCAACCAGATTTTTTTTTTCCATCAGAGAATAGGTGCAGGAACTCCCCTTCTGAGTCACTTCTTGTCTCCGCCCCTAACCACCTGCGAGCACCATCCTTTAGTTCCAGCCCTTACCCACCTCCGAGCACCGTCCTTTAGTCCCAGCCGCTACCCACCTCCAAGCACCGTCCTTTAGTTCCAGCCCTTACCCACCTCCGAGCACCGTCCTTTAGTTCCAGCCCCTACCCACCTCCGAGCACCGTCCTTTATTCCCAGCCCCTAACCACCTCCGAGCACCGTCCTTTAGTTCCAGCCCCTACCCACCTCCGAGCACCGTCCTTTATTCCCAGCCCCTAACCACCTCCGAGCACCGTCCTTTAGTTCCAGCCCCTAACCACCTCCGAGCACCGTCCTTTAGTTCCAGCCCCTACCCACCTCCGAGCACCGTCCTTTATTCCCAGCCCCTAACCACCTCCGAGCACCGTCCTTTAGTTCCAGCCCCTACCCACCTCCGAGCACCGTCCTTTATTCCCAGCCCCTAACCACCTCCGAGCACCGTCCTTTAGTTCCAGCCCCTAACCACCTCCGAGCACCGTCCTTTAGTTCCAGCCCCTACCCACCTCCGAGCACCGTCCTTTATTCCCAGCCCCTAACCACCTCCGAGCACCGTCCTTTAGTTCCAGCCCCTACCCACCCCGAACACCGTCCTTTAGTTCCAGCCCCTACCCAGCTCCGAGCACCGTCCTTTATTCCCAGCCCCTAACCACCTCCGAGCACCGTCCTTTAGTCCCAGCCCCTACCCACCTCCGAGCACCGTCCTTTATTCCCAGCCCCTAACCACCTCCGAGCACCGTCCTTTATTCCCAGCCCCTAACCACCTCCGAGCACCGTCCTTTAGTTCAGCCAGCCCCTAACCACCTCCGAGCATCGTCCTTTAGTCCCAGCCCCTACCCACCTCCCAGTACCTCCCCTTTTGGAGAATGCAGAGCCAAGTACCATTTTGTGCTGCTGAGTAGTTTGTATGGAATTTTGTTACTGATAACAAGAAAAGGAGTAAAATAGATCCTCCACAGCCAATAGTGATTGACCCTCCAGCAACAATAGCCTTCCTCAGCAACAACAGAGCATCATGCAAAAATAGATCCCCTCCAACAACAATATATCTCCCAGCAGCAATAGACCCGCCCCTCCAAAGTAGATCTCGTACATCAAAAATTGACCACACAGCAACATAAGATCCCCTCCAGCAACAATACACCCCCCCCCCCCCAGTAGCCAGCATAGATAAACCCTCCAGCACCCCTTGCCATTATATACATTCAGTTTTTGCTTGCGGCAAAATGCACACTGCTCACTGTGCTTAGGGCGCCACGCACACCGGGCTTCAATAAAACAAAACAAAAAAAGAAAAAAAAGCTGCTTAACCACTTCAGCTGTAAAGCTTCTACAGTTGTGACCAAAATTATTCAACCCCCAATGCTGTAAAGGGGTTTAGGGACTATAGTGTACATTTGGAATTGTATTCAGAATCAAATCCTACAAGGACGTTGTAACTACCCAAATGCAACTAAAATGACATCAATTGTTTATGTAATACAGTAGTAAATGGTTCTTATGTGGTTTCTTCATTGCCACAATTATTCAACCCCTTAAAGACTACCACTCTGAAGAACAGAGGTTCATACAGGTGCTTTCCATCAGGTATTGAAAACACCTGTGGATGTCACCGAGCAGCAATCAAGCATAATAAGCACCAATTAGGCAGCTTTAAAATGACTGTGATACTCAGCTCCTTCTAGACATTTACTGGTGTGGTTACAAACATGGTGAAGGCAAGAGAATGGTCCAGGAAGACAAGAGAAGAGGTGATTTCTCTTCACAGGAAGGGCAATGGCTATAAGAAGATTGCAAAGATGTTAAACATACCAAGAGACACCTTAGGAAGCATCATTCGCAAATTCAAGGCAAAGGGCACTGTTGAAACGCTACCTGGTCGTGGCAGAAAGAAGATGCTGACTTCGACTGCTGTGCGCTACCTGAAGCGTAGAGTGGAGAGAAGTCCCCGTGTGACTGCTGAGGAACTGAGAAAAGATTTGTCAGATGTGGGTACAGAAGTTTCAGCCCAGACAATAAGACGCACACTGCGTAATGAAGGCCTCCGTGCCAGAACTCCCAGGCGTACCCCCTTGCTGTCTCCAAAGAATAAGAAGAGTCGACTGCAGTATGCCAAAAGCCATGTGGACAAACCACAAAAGTTGTGGGATAGTGTTCTGTGGACTGATGAAACAAAATTAGAACTGTTTGGGCCCATGGATCAACGCTATGTTTGGAGGAGGAAGAACAAGGCCTATGATGAAAAGAACACCTTGCCTACTGTGAAGCATGGTGGAGGGTCAATCATGCTTTGGGGCTGTTTTGCTTCTGCAGGTACAGGGAAGCTTCAGCGTGTGCAAGGTACCATGAATTCTCTTCAGTACCAGGAGATATTGGATGGAAACGTGATGCAGTCCGTCACACACCTGAGGCTTGGGAGACGTTGGACCTTTCAACAGGACAATGATCCCAAGCATACCTCCAAGTCCACTAGAGCATGGTTGCAGAGGAAAGGCTGGAACATTTTGGAGTGGCCATCGCAGTCACCAGACTTAAATCCGATGAGAACCTCTGGTGGACTTAAAGAAAGCAGTTGCAGTGCGCAAGCCTAAGAATGTGACTGAACTGGAGGCCTTTGCCCATGAAGAATGGGCGAAGATACCCGTAGATCGCTGCAAGACACTTGTGTCAAGCTATGCTTCACGTTTAAAAGCTGTTATAACTGTAAAAGGATGCTGTACTAAGTACTAAGATTGAATGTCACTTGGGGGTTGAATAAAACTGATAATGCTGTGAGCACAGAAAAGACATTTGTGGTTATTTCATTATAACTGTTATGTTATATTTGTCTGACCTACAAGTGCCTCTTTAATGTAAATGTAAGCAAGATGACTGAATGATCAAAAGCAATGTCAAACTGGCCAAAACACTCAATTTCAGTGGGGGTTGAATAATTTTGGTCACAACTGTACTTCCTTCATGACCAGGATATTTTTTGCTATTCAGCGCTGCACTACTTTAAGGGTTCATGTCCAAAGTAGTACAATGTTACCATAGTAACATTGTAATACTTTGGGGAAGTGATCAGTATTTTTTTTTTTTTTTACACAATTTGCTTATAGCAAAGAATTACTTTGCTATAAGCAAGCATTTACCTGAATGACATCGATTCATTCAGGTTTTTTTTTTTTTTTTGTGCTTAGCTATGATTTGGCCACAGCTAATCACATGACATGTGCATGTGATTAGCTGTGACCATTCACAGCTAGACAGTAGTATACAATGGATGGCATGAATGAAGCCATCCATTGTATGCAACTCTCATGTGACCTGCTGTGATTGGTCACAGCAGGTCACATGGTACCGGCAACAGGGCCGTTACTCAGATCTGTCATTGGCCGTGTCCGAGGTACACGGCCGGTGACAGATCGCGCCGCTGCGCGGCTCTGCAAGCGTGAAAAGTGCGCATGTGCGGGTTGGCGTCCAACCCGGAAATGCAGTACATTTTGCCGGCCGCCTTTTGGCTATTAATGTGTAACAAAGTGAGCGCTAATCATGAGGAGATAATTAAGCAGCTAGCCTTTTGGCTATTGGCCGGGCGTGTATTGGTTAAAAGATAACCTCAGGAGACCCTCCCAAATGCCCAGAATGCACTGAAAAACAGTAAATTCACTAAAAAAGGCTACTAAAATACCACAGGAGTTATTTTATCAAATCAGGTGGTATTTTAGTAGTGAAAAGCGTGCATTAATGTTTCAGCTGTCAAAGGGATTCCCACTGGAGGCCATCTTTCCTTCACTCATCCCTATGCCCAGCGCCGGGATCGTTCGTTGGTTTCTAAGGTAAGGCTGAGAACTACCGAGCTGCAGCCGGTGGCAGCAGCGAGGGACGCGGTTTTTTCAGCACCTGTATCGGTGCTTTTTCATATCGGCAGATGGCCAAAAGGGGTGTTTTCGGCCAAAACATTTCAGCCACTGAAATGTCGGTGCATCCCTACCTGTCATGTGTCTATTACTGTCACAGGGATGTTTAAAAAAAAAAAAAAATGAAAGTGACAGTGCAAAATAAAAAAATTATATATAAAAAAAAAATGTAAGTGCCCCCATCCCTCCGTGCTCGTGCAAACACCGATCGTCCCACACGAGGTATCACTGCCATTTGTCATCGTTGCACGGGCGTGCGCAATTTTAACCGCCTCCCTCCCGCCATATAACGTCCTCCCACTCTAACTGCGCGTGCACGGCCCTGGGTGCATGCAGCGCACCTATCTGTGGTGTGCTGTGTCCCTAGGACACAGCGGATCACTGATCAATGGAAAGAGCCGAAGGCGGCGGCTCAGTCATGTGATCAGCGGTGTCCAATCACAGCTGATCGCATGTAAATAAGGAAATGCCAGTTACTGGCATTTTTCTGCTCACAAGCTGTCATGCTGACAGCTCGAGAGGAGAGGAGACCCGGTAATCAGCATTCCTCAGAGGGGACATCTACACTGATCATCACGACACTGATGATCAGTGTGCCCTGATGATCAGTGTAGCCCCAGCAGTGCCATCTGCCAGTGCCCATCAATGCCACCTGCCAGTGCCCAATGCCACATATCAGTGCCTACCAGTGCACATCAATGCCACATACCAGTGTCCATCTGAGCTGCCTTTCAGTGCCACCTATCAGTACTGCCAATCAGTGCTGCCTATCAGTGCCCGTCAATGCCACCTATTAGTGCCATATATGAGTGCTGCCTTTCAGTGCCCATCAGTGATGCCTGTCAATGCCCATCAGTGCCACATATCAGTCCCCATCACTGCAGCCTATCAGTCCCCATCACTGCAGCCTCATTAGCGCACATTAGTGAAGGAGAAAAATCACCTATTTACAAAGTTATATAACAAAAGCTAAGAAAAAACTTTTGTTTTTTTTTCCAAAATTTTCAGTTATTTTTGGTTTGTTTAGCAAAAAATAAAAAAGGTGGTGATTAAGTACCACCAAAAGAAAGGTCTATGTCTCAAAAAAATTATAAAAATTTCATATGGGTAGAGTGTTGCATGACTGCGCAATTGTCATTCAAACTGTGACAGCACTAAAAGCTGAAAATTGGCCTGGGACAGGAAGGGGGTTATATGTGCCCGGTAGGCAAGTGGTTAAAGCGTGACATGTTTGAAATCAATTTACTTAGCTTAACAACCTCTTTTATATTATACAAAAATTGGGTTATGTATTGTCTTTTTGCACTAAAATGTTTTTTTAAAGTATATTTTTTCCCAAAAACTGGATTTGAAGAAACCATTGAGTAAATACCATGTGACATAAAAGAAATACAAAGAGAACCAATTTATTCTCCAGGGCCTCTGCTTTAAAAAATACATGTTTAGGTGTTCTATGACATTTTCTAGCAAAAAATACAGATTTTAAAAAGTAAACAAAAAAGTGGCAGAAATGGCTTGGGGCTGAAGTGGTTAACCTCTAACTTCACTCACAATCAACATGGACTATTTCTAATCCTTACGCTACTGACATTACTAAATAGATAGGAAAGTATATTATACTTATTATTTGTTTTTGTTTTTACATTTCTTCAGTTACTTCCTGGTTTCCAGGGCTAGACAAATGATGTCATACATCCCAGCAGTCTTCAGGAGGGGAGGGAGAGTTCTCAGCTAAGCCCATGCCTGAGCTAGGGGCAGATTGATTCCAGGAAATAACTGCTACATTAATCATCCGCCCTTACTCAAGATGGCCACTGCCAGTAATGCCAGGGGGTGTTTTTTAAAGTGATTTCTCAGCAAAATAAAGCATGGAGAGAAGGATGGATGAGGGATTTGTTTTGAACACCAAAGTGGAGTCCCAGCTGTTTTGTGTTTATTAGATGTCAGCAGCTACAAAAACTGCAGCTGCTGACTTTTAATAAAACACAAACTTACCTGTCCCAAAGTCCAGCAATGTTCTCACCTGCGCAGTCCCTTCTCCCCTTCAGGGTGCCGGCATCTCAACTGTGGGCACCAGGCTGTGACAGCTTGCGGCTTCACAGCCTGGTGTCCATTGCACATGTGCGAGTCGCGCGCAGCATCATGATTGGTCCGGCAGTCTCCTGGGACCTGTGAAATCTTCCAGGAGACTGCGGGAGGGAGGAGGGGGCCGAACTTCCAGCTCACTTCGCTGTGGCAAACTGAGCTGGAAGTGGGAGCAGGTACCTGTCAGAAACAGGTATCCACTCCCCCCCCCCCAAAAAGGTCAAATATGGCAGTGGAGGGGGGGGGAGGCAAATAAGTGGATCTTCCGCTTTTGAGTGGAACTCAGCTTTAAAAGTGAATTTTATAGCATTTTTGGTTTGTGGTGCTCAGATACAGCGCAGTCCAGCTTTAACTCCCTAAATCTAAAACAAAATATATGTATTAAATTATTTATAATAAATAATAATAATAAAACAATAAACCCTCAAACCCAAACAAAAATAAATAATTCTAATTATTTTGTGTTAGGGTGTTTATTATTTTATAATTATTAATTTCATTCACTTTTGTAAGGGTTATGGGGGTTATTTATTTATTATTATATATTATTTATGATCATTTTTGGGTATTTATTTTACATTTATTAATATTAACACCCTAAAAAAAAAAAGATAAATGAATAAAAAAAAAATAAAAGCTGATGGAAACGCTAAAAAAGCTACCAACAAATGATGCAACGGGTGCTATTTTTCTCTATTGGCTAATAAAAACCCCCCAAAAACGTTCAAAAACGCCTGACAAGCGCTGTATGAAAACACGCAAAACAAGCTACACTCAAGTGTGGATCTGGCCTGGCGCTGGGAGGGAACCGACTAACTGCCACTGACACGAATACAGTGATCACTGATAATACTGCACACTGTCGCTGTACTAATGGCACTGTCTGGGAAGGGGTTAACATCTTGGGGTAATCAGGGGTTAAGGGTGTGCTTAACAAGTGTCAATGTGTGCTGCTTTGTCAAAAAAAAAAGTTCTCTGTTTCTCATCCCTGCTTTGCAGGGAGAAGAAGCAAAGATCATTCCCTCTGTACAGAGCTCTGTGTTGATGTCAACACACAGCTCTGGGCTGTGATTGGACACAGCCGATCAGCAGGTCCCCACGGTGAATCATTGGCCAGGATCTGCTTAGGTGGGGGTGTGCATGCGTGCGCACAAAGCCTAGAAGTAGTCAGCGAGGTACGGATACATTGTTCTGCCTGCAGCAGCCGCCTGTCTGCAGTACAATGTGGGCGGGATCTGGGTATACGGACGTTTAGCGGTTTCCCTTTCAGCCTGTAAATGCCCCTCCATGTCAGCCTAGGTGTCCATGCGCACACACAGGCATTTACAGGTGTTTTAGAAGAGAAACAATTCCGATTGCCTCTCGGGGGATCAGGAAGGAATTTTTTTTCCCTGCAGGAACAAATTGGATCATGCTTTGCTGGGTTTTTTTTGCCTTCCTCTGGATCAGCTATGGGTTATAGGATCATAACTTTTTTTTTTGGTTGAACTGGATGGACTTTTGTCTTTTTTCAGCCAGACTAACTATGTAAGCTGGACAAAATAAAAACTTAATTACTTGTGCATTCAGGAGACAAGTGTTTAAAAAAGAAAATAGATGCCTTTTGCGCTTGAGGATTCATTCCAAAATAAAGAAGCCGATCAGAGTTTATTTTTTGCTAAATAAACAAAAAAAAAACCTGAAACTTTTGAAAAAAAAACCCACTAATTTTTCTTTGTTTTTGTTATAAAAATTTTGCAAATAAATAACATTTCTTCATAAATTTAGGTCAAAATGTATTCTGCTACATTTCTTTGGTGAAAAGACCCCAAATTAGTGTATATTATTTAGTCTGTAGGAAAGATATAGAGTCTACAAACTATGGGATATACAGTATCTCCCGGAAGTGAGTACACTCCTCACATTTTTGTAAATATTTGAGCTCCCTTGACAATTAATGAATCCTGGCTGAGAACCGGTGGGCGGGACCCGGTGATTGACATGCCGAGGAGCCAATAATAGTGTGGGTAGGGCGGCACGTGCGTGGGAATTTTGGGTCCATGACTAGTTCCCTCATTTGTGGGGATTTCCTCTCACTTCCTGTTGTGGCTCCGGGGCAGGAAGCAAAAGGAAATCCCCCAAAGGGGACACAGAGGGCAGAATCACCTGACAGGGGTCCTCCCCCTTCATGACTCCACCCAGAATGGCTAAAGTGTTCCCTGGAGTCCTGCTTTAGACTGGTCGGAGGGCAATGCGGCGGGCGCTCTGAGCCGGGAGGGGGACGCGGCCTCTTTAAGGGCTGTTAGGGTGAGTCCCCATCTACCAGGAAGCCAGGGGGCCCCACACAGGACAAGCACAGGCCAGGAAGGGGGAATGTTGTGGTTACCCAGCTCCAGGTGATGACGTCGCCGTTGCTCGGGTCCTCCAGCAGCGCCCAGAGCTTCATGAGGAAGGCGGGGACTGGGGGAGAGCCGAGCGGGGGGCGGACGGCTCCTTCATCCTGACACCGGACACGGGGACCCCCTCACACAGAACGACACCAACTTCCGGGACACGCAACGCCACACCCCCTTCAGCGCTCCGTGGACGCGCCTCTGATTGGCCGAGAGCGGCTTCGCTGACAAATTCCAGGAGGTGTGGCCGACGCTGGGGGGGGGCGTGTGATCGGGAGGAGCGTGACTTTGGAGAAGGGTGTGCGCTGTTCGGTAAAGGGGTGTGGCCAGGAAGGCTAAGGGCTCTGGGAAGGGGTGCGACCAGATTGGTGTTGGCGTGTGATTGGGGGGAGCACGGTTGGGGGTGTGTGGCCGAGAAACGCACTGGTTGGTGAGGGGGTGTGACCAGATTGGTGTTGGCGTGTGATTGGGGGGAGCATGGTTGAGGGAGGATGTGGCCGAGAAACGCACTGATTGGTGACGGGGTGTGGCCGGATTTGTGTTGGGGTGTGAATGGGAGGAGCATGGCTTTGGAGGGGGATGTGGCCGAGAAACACACTGGTCGGTGAGGGGGGTGTGGCCTGGAAGGCTGAACGTCTGTGGTAGGACAAGCAGATGGGAGGGGAACAGCTTTGCGAGAAGGTGTGGCCTGCTCTGAGGGGGGTGTGGTGGAGAGTGCACAGTTCTGTGAAGGGGGTGTGGCCGGCTTTGAGAGCGGGTGTGGACATGAGCGAAAGCAAATTGTTGCTGGGTAGTACCTTCTCAGTGGGAGGGGCCGGGAGTTGGGCAGCTTTGTAAGGGGTGTGGTCGAGAAGTTGGTTTGTGAGAGGGTGTGGCAGGCAAGCGCAGGGTTCGGGGTGATAAACCCCGCCCTGGAGGAACATTCTGGCGATGCCTGATGAAGGTGGTTGTAGCTGGGCTCAGCAATCGCTATTTTTTTTACAGTGTAGCTGTATATTACTTTCCGTTCCCATTGCCTCCTCTACAAAAAAACAAAGTCTTCTACATAAAGGGGGTACATTGAATGACGTAAACATTCCAGAACAGTGTAAAGCTGCCCATACCCATATAGATTGGCGGAAGAACATTCGTAAGAAAAGTCGTATGAACATTCTGTGTACAGTGGGTGAATGTCGTTCGAAATTTTCCTTCGCTTTTAACATTGGACTTTAAAATGAATGCAATTTCTGAATGATAACCCCATACACGGGCCAAATATTCATCTGATCGACAAACGTTATCCTTCCTGATCTTTAAATCTTCCTGCCACTGCGCTAAAAAAAGAACATCGATGTGACCCCAACTAACGGTTAGAAAATCTCACGAATATTCTTGAAACAAAAATTTCCGTATGAAAAACTATACGTGTAGGGCCAGTTCACACTCCATGCGTTTCAGTTGCTTTTTTTTCTACTTCCAAAACGCACAGAAAGTCGGTGATATGGTGGTCAATGTCATAGTTCACATCAGTGCTTGCAAAAAAAAAAAAAAAAAAAAAAGTAGAACATGCTACATTTTTCCTGCATAGAACTGTACTGGAACACGGTGAAACGCATCAAAAATGCACCGGAACGCACCAATAACACATTCGAACACACCCTATTTAAATTGAAGAAAAAGGGCGAAAAATTAACTGAAACGCAGAAAAAACGTGCATGCAGAAATGCGTCCAGAACACATCTGGACTGCGTTTCTATAGTGTGAACCGACCCCTAAGGACCAGTTCACACTACATGGGTTTCAGTTGCTTTTTTTCTGCATCCAAAACATACAGAAAGTAGGCGTTATGGTGGTCGGCAGGGGCGGACTGATCATTTGGAAACTCGGGCATTGCCCGAGGGCCCGGGGTCAGTAGAGGACCCCATGAGATGCCCCTGGCACTTTTTCATAGGCTTTTGAGTTTGGGCAAGGACACAGGGGCCCCATTATGCCCTATTGCCCGGGGGCCCGATGAGTTGTCATTCCCCCCTTGGTGGTCGGTGTCATAGTTCACATCAGTGCTTGCAGTAGTAGTGCGATTCGGATGTAGAAGTAGAACAGGCTGCATTTTTCCTGCACGGAACTGTACTGGAACACAGTAAAACGCATCAAAAACACATTTGAATGCACCCTATTTAAATTGAAATAAAAGAGGGGGAAAAACACATCAGAACGCATCAAAAATGCATAAAAAATGCATACGCAGAAATGTCTCCAGAACACATCTGGACTGCGTTTCTATAGTGTGAACCAGCCCTAAGGGCCAGTTCACACTACATGTGTTTTGTTTTTCTTCTGCATTTCAAAACGCACAGAAAGTAGGTGATATGGTTGTCAATGTCATAGTTCACATCAGTGCTTGCAGTTCCAGTGTGTTCCGGATGCAGAAAAAAAAAGGACAACAGTCTACATTTTTCCTGCACGGAACTGTACTAGAACGCAGTAAAACGCATAAAAAATGCACCGGAACGCACCAAAAACTACATTAGAACACGCCCTATTTAAATTGAAGATAAAGAGGGGGGGGGGGGGAATGAACTAGAACTCATCAAAAACACACCGGAACGCATCAAAAATGCATTAAAAAAAGCGCATGCAGAAATGCATCCGGACCACATCTGGACTGAGTAGTGTGAACCGACCCCTAAGTACCAGTTCACACAACATGCATTTCAGTTGCTTTATTTCTGCATCCAAAACACACAGAAAGTAGGTGATATGGTGGTCAGTGTCATAATTCACATCAGTGCTTGCAGTTGCAGCGTGTTCAGGATGCAGAAAAAAAAAGTACAACAGGCTGCATTTTTTCTGCACATAACTGTACTGGAACGCATCAAAAACGCACCAAAAACACATTTGAATGCACCACATTTAAATTGAAATAAAAGAGAGGGGGAAAAGACATCAGAACGCATCAAAAATGCATAAAAAACCGCACATGCAGAAATGTCTCCAGAACACATCTGGACTGCGTTTCTATAGTGTGAACCAGCCCTAAGGACCAGTTCACACTACATGCGTTTCAGTTGCTGTTTTCTGCATCCAAAACGCACAGAATAGTAGGTGATATGATGTCATAGTTCACATCAGTGCTTGCAGTTGCAGTGTGTTCTGGATGCAGAAGTAGAACAGGCTGCATTTTTCCTGCATGGAACTGTACTGGAATGCGGTAAAACGCATAAAAATGCACCAAAACTACATTAGAACGCGCCCTATTTAAATGTATAAAAAAGAGAGGGGAAATGAACTAGAACTCATCAAAAACACACCGGAACGCATCAAAAATGCATAAAAAAGCGCATGCAGAAATGCACAGCAGCTGGATTGCATTTCTATAGTGTGAACTGACCCTTAACCTCTTCAATACCGGGCACTTTTACCCTCTTCCTGCCCAGGCCAATTTTCAGGTTTCAGCGCTCTCACACTTTGAATGACAATTGCGCGGTCATGCAACATTGTACCCATATTAAATTTTTATCATTTTCTTCACACAACTAGAGCTTTCTTTTGGTGGTAATTAATCATCGCCGGGGTGTTTATTTTTTGCTAAATTAACAAAAAAAGGCAGAAACTTTTGAAAAAAAAAAACACGTTTTTCTTTGTTTCTGTTATAGTTTGCAAATAAATAATTGTTCTTCATAAATTTAGGCCGAGATGTATTCTGCTACATGTCTTTGGTGAAAATAACCCAAATTAGGATGTATTTTTTAGTTTGTAGGAAAGTTATAGAGTTCACAAACTATGGTATAGATCTGAATATTGATCAGTCCTGAAGTACTGTCGGCCAATCTAATTTCTTGAGGCCCAAGAATGTCAGAGTAGTACAGATATCCCCAAATGACCCCTTTTTGTAAAGTAGACAGTCCGACGTACTTCATAAGAGGCATGGCGAGTTTTTTGAAGTTGTATTTTTTTTGTCATTTTTCGGAAAATGAAAAAATTAAAAAAATTATTTTCATTTTTTTTTTACATACTGTCACCAGTGCAGTACAGCATCATCATATAACTGGCATGGCGGTGATCAGGGACACTGGTGACAGTATGAAAAAAAAAATATAATTTTTTAAAATTTTATTATTTTTAATTTATTAATTTTTTTCTTTTTTTTAAGATTTTTTTTTCATATTTCACTATGACCAAAGTAGTACAATGTTACCATAGTAACATTGTACTACTTTGGGGAAGTGATCAGTATTTGTTTTTTTTTTTTACACAATTTGCTTATAGCAAAGAATTATTTTGCTATAAGCAAGCATTTACCTGAATGACATCGATTCATTCAGGGTTTTTTTTTTTTTTTTGTGCTTAGCTGTGATTTGCCCATGGCTAATCACATGACACAGCTGGGCTGTGATTGGCCCAGCTTGTGCATGTGATCGCTGTGACCATTCACAGCTAGACACACTAGTATACAATGGATGGCATGAATGAAGCCATCCATTGTATACAACTGTCATGTGACCTGCTGTGATTGGTCACAGCAGGTCACATGGTACTGGCAATGGGGGCGGTACTTAGATCTCTCATCTGCCCTGTCCAAGGTATGTGAGATGGAGAAACAGCTCTCATTGTTTGAACACTGTTTGTGTGCAGTAAATTATTGTGTGGAGTAATTTAAATGTTCTGGAATGACATTCTGCGGTTTAGCCACAAGATGTCACTGTTTTCCTAACACAGCCTCAGACTGCATAGACATTTCTATATTCATGAAGTGGTGGGGTTTTTCACACAGAGTTTAGAGAACAGGAAAGAGAGACAGCAGCCATGTTTTGGAGGATGGTGAACACAGGAGTCGTGTGAGCAGAGAATCTGATGTCATCCAGGTGTGAGAACATCCCTCAGTAACCAGAGCTGCAGCTAAGTGAAGCTGATCATATCCAAGACCCTGATCCTGTTCAGAGAAAGAAAGATTGCTGCCAGGAATGCTGATGAGAGCAGAGGAAGAAAGCAATATACACTGCGATACATACATGCTTGCTGGAGAGACATTTGTTCTGTTCAGAGTCATTAGCGGATGCAAAGCAGACTCGGGTCAGTAAGATCGTGCACCTCATTTCAGTGTTGGCGCCTAGAGACTGAGTCCAGGCCTATAGTTAGTTAGTTAGGGTCTCTGTTTGTGTCAGGCCGCAAGTGTTGTTACTGATTATTGGAAGGACTCCACCACTTAAAGCGACATTTCACATTGGAGAGCTGATAAAATCCCACAAACTCAAGCCAGACTGGCGTTTTGCTCAGAAGGAATACTCAGGCACGTGCTACAGGACCAGTTATGGGAGGGGGAATACTGTAGATTTGTGTAAGATTGTAAGCTGTTGTGCTGCACTGCAGGCTAGCCCATACCATACACCCATACACTGATTCCTGCTCTATTAGGGTAATAACAGGTAAGGTGTGGCAGCTTAGTTGTGCCCGCCAGTAGGTAAATTACTTCACTTTCTACCTTCATCCATCAGAAGGCGCCTTGCTGTGCAACACAAGGGTCTCAGCCTTTGGGCTGGGTGTATGTACATTTATTGTATGTTCCCAGCATTTGTGGTTGTGTTTATTTGCCACATCTAAGTAAAATTCTGTTGTGACAAAAGCTGGTGTTGGGGTTGCTTTCCTCGTTCGTGACTTCACTGTATCCTGGGGAGCCCACCCCGGTAAACGGCTTACAGGTACACGGCCAGTGACAGATCACGATGCTCCTCGGCTCTGCGGGCATGCAAACTGTGCACGCTCGAAAGGACTCCATATGGTGTCCACACGGAGGGACGAGGGGTTTTGCAGGCCGCCATCTGGCTATAGGCCGAGCGGGAACCTTTTAAGGGCCAGTTCAAACTACATGCGTTTCAGTTGCTATATTTCTGCATCCAAAACGCACAGAAAGTAGGTGATATGGTTGTCAATGTCACAGTTCGCATCAGTGCTTGCAGTTTCAGTGCGTTCCGGATGCAAAAGTAGAACAGGCTGAATTTTTCCTGCATATAACTGTACTGGAACGCGGTAAAACGCATCAAAAATGCACCGGAACGCACCAAAACCACAATAGAACGCGCCTTATTAAAATTTAAGAAAAAAAATAGGGGGGAAAATGAACTGGAACACATAAAAAATGCACCTGAATGTGTCAAAAATGCGCATGCAGAAATGCATCCGGAACGCATCCGGACTGCGTCTCTATACTGTGAACCGACCCCAAAGACCAGGTCACACTACATGCGTTTCAGTTGCTTTTTTCTGCATCCAAAATGCACAGAAAGTAGGGGATATGATTGTCAATGTCATAGTTCACATCAGTGCTTGCAGTTCCAATGCGTTCCGGATGCAGAAAAAAAAAGTAGAACAGTCTGCATTTTTCCTGCACATAACTGTACTGGAATGCGGTGGCATATTGATCGAATGGGCTGTCCACTATGGATCAAAAATGCACCGGAAAGCACCAAAACCATATTAGAATGCACTCTATTTAAATTGAAGAAAAAGGAGGAAAAATTAACTGCAACTCATCGAAAACGCAACGCATAAAAAACGCACATGCAGAAATGCATCTGGACTGGGTTTCTATGTTGTGCAGTTGGTGGGGTGGTAAAAATAGGTGGTTGAGCTACAGTATTATACCTACTCCACCCCCCAAGTAGTTCATGTCTGTTTTTTTTTTTTTGCTGCATTTTTTACTGAGGATTTTGCCACGTTTATTGCGCATTTTGAATTTATTGCGGCAAAATGTGCGTCTGCTTGCCATATTTGGGGTGCCATTAACAATGAAATGCAACACTCGTTTTTAGTGCAATTCACAAACACATGCAAAAAAACCGTGCAACTGACCCAACTTCCCTTCCAATTGATCGGGACTCATTTTCAAACAGGTTCAAGGGTGCAATGTTATTGATCATGTTGCATCGATCGGCAGCATGGAGATATTTGCTCATGAATATTATCGTATTTCAATTGATCAGACTATGAGACTACATGGTGGAAAGAGAGATGCGATCAATAACGGACGATCATATCTTGATCGAAATCCACTACCCTGCATGTGGCATATTGATCGAATGGGCTGTCCACTATAGATCAAATATTCAAATGGGCGGGATAAATTTGAAAAGAGATCGATCATTTATTGATCACCACACACAGACATTTGTTTTCATTTTTTTAATACATTTTTTCCTTCTGGTTGGATACAATGTATCTTTTTTCTTCATTTACCCCAGGTTCACACCCAGGGACGGACTGACCATTCGAGCACTGCCCGAGGGCCCGGGATCAGTAGGGGGCCCCATGAGATGCCCCTGGTACCTTTTTCATAGGCTTTTTTGAGTTTGGGCAAGGACACAGGGTCCCCATGATCCCCTATTGCCCGGGGGCCCCATGAGTTGTTAGTCCGCCCCTGTTCACACCTAAGTGTTTTCTGCAGCGTTTTGCACGATTTCCTATGGGACAGGTTCACATCTCTGCGTTTTCACCCGGTGCGTTTTTTGGAAAGGGTCAGGGACTTTTTTGAATGTGAAACATTGCGTTTTTGGTTCTATAGAGTTCAATGGGAACGCTGCAGAAACCTATGTAGTGCGTTTTTATGCATTTTGATGTGTTTTGCATTTGAATCTGCTTAGCAACAAGAAAAAAAACCGCAAAAGGCATCAAAACGCATGTGCAAAAAACACAACGCACTGCAGAATCAAATCAAATGCAGACTGCATAGGTGTGAACTTAGCCTCACCCTAGATTCACACCTAAGCATTTTCTGCAGCGTTTTGAGGAAACACACTATAGTCCATTTAACATGATTTCATATGGGACACGTTCACCTCTGCGTTTTTGCCCGGTGCGTTTTGTGGAAAGGGTCAGGGACTTTTTTAATGCAAATTGTTGCGTTTTTGGTTCTATAGACTTCAATGGGAATGCTGCAGAAAGCCATGTAGTGCGTTTTTATGCATTTTGTGTTTGAATCTGCCTAGCAACGAGGGAAAAAAAACGCAAAATGCATCAAAAATGCATGTGCAATAACAAAAATGCACTGCAGAAACTGATCAAATGCAAGCTGCATAGGTGTGATCTTAGCCATCTGGTCTCCCCGGACCCTGCATTCGCTATATCTGGTCTCCCCGGACCCTGCATTCACTATATCCGGTCTCCCCGGACCCTGCATTCACTATATCCGGTCTCCCCGGACCCTGCACTCACTATATCTGGTCTCCCTGGACCCTGCATTCACTATATCCGGTCTCCCAGGACCCCGCTTTCACTATATCCGATCTCCCAGGACCCTGCATTCACTATATCTGGTCTCCCCGGACCCCACATTCACTATATCTGGTCTCCCAGGACCCTGCATTCACTATATCCGGTCTCTCCGGACCCTGCATTCACTATATCTGGTCTCCCAGAACCCTGCATTCACTATGTCTGGTCTCCCGCAGTACACAGAACATGGAAATGCAATTATTTTAGTAAATATAAACTTCTAAATACCTTTTCTCAGCAGTACATAGCAGTATTGTGACTTCTATCAGTGTCCAGCAGAGCACTGGTTAAAGCTTGTAGGAGGAGTTTTCATTCTGCTCTAGGAGGATGCAGAACCCATGACCTCTGTCTGGACAGTGCTGATTGGCCCTGTGCTGATCACATGCATCCTCCCACTAAAAAAAAAAAAACCTATCTAGCAATACACACCAAACTGAGCATGTGCTAAATGTCTACAGTTCAGTCTGTCTTATCAGGAGATAAGAGGTGGACGCTTGAATAAGGGGAATAACAGAGCAGTCAAGATCAAATGGCCTTCTAACACAATGAGGAGGATTGGCCCCTTAGGTTCCACAGTGAGTATAACAAGCATGCTTTACTGCATATACAGACTGATTTTTACTGTTGTGGGTTTAATTTAACTCCTTCTCAACCACTAAGAGCCCAACTAAAAACGGCATCTAAGCCCTGACAAAGGGGGAACCCAATAGTCCTAAAACATGGTGGCTTGTCATCTTTCTTACCTTTGGACTGATTTGATGAAATAATTAAACTTTGACTTTTATGAATATAATTGGACACTTTTAGTGCGGTGCTATTATTCTTCTGGCACCTTCCATTGTTCACCAAGGGTGTCTTTGAAGCTCATTCACTTTAGAGGAGTACATAGCCATAGTCATCGTTCTCTGCAAACTGAGGAACCAAATCAGTTTCTGGATCCAGCCCCTCCTATCTACATCATTCTGCCACATATGTACCACCCTGCCCCAGGCTGGATAAATCTAGTTTTAGGCTGTTCTTCACCTAGCTGAGTAGCAATTGAGTTTCTAGGCATGGTTAGGTCTCCCTTGGCCTGGTGGTTGATTGCTCCTGCCTGCTTCTGGAAGAAGCTCCCAGAAATAGCGTAGAATGTCAGCCACTGGGTTTGGAATATTTATCTGACCTGGTACGCTCAGGAAGTGTGGCTGGGGAGAAGATAAATATTTGGGAGGCCCTGTTCAGTCTCTCGTTTCCTGGGCTCTGCCCCTGGGGGGCCAGCCTGTGTTCCTAAAGAGATGTTGCTGTTAGGCCTCAGCATGTACTTGGCTGAAGGTTTGAAAGGTCCCAGACTAAAAGACATTTGCTGGAGGATGTTACCTTAGAAGCTAAGTTGAAAAAGGACCCTTTCACTGAGGAGTGCCATAGGGAGGCTGGTTGGAGCAGTCTTTGGACATTGTTAGTAGGACCTTTTACCTAGCTCTTCAGCTGTGGCAATGCTTTTAGGGTTAGACACCAGAGGTTGCTACAGGGACTGGGACTTCTCAGATTAGCTGGCTGTCCCCTCTACCTCCAGCAATATTTAAAGCTGCTACTGAAGAACTTTGCTTGAGAGATTATCCTCCAACACCTGCAAGTGTTTTTGGAGTATCCTGCTCCCTCATTCCTCTGCCCTGTTCAAGTACTGCAAGAAAGCTCCAAAAACCCATACACAAAGCTTATATTTGTCAGTGTGCTCTGGAACTGGTACCTGGGCTGGACAGGTAAGGGAGACCAGTAAATTTCTAGTGGCCCCATCCAGGGTAAGCACTACATGTATACTTTTGACCAATCCCAGGCATCAATCTCCTATATAGCCTCTAAATCTGAGGGTTCCTAACTTTTTTATTTTCTTATGATTACAGACCCCATTGGATTTCCCAGTAGATCCCTATACCCCCTTCAGCAAGCTGTCCAAAACATTATCCTCATTGGTATAATTTGGTAACTGTATGGCTTCAAAAGATGCCCATAACTTGGCATATTTTACCCGCTTCAACACCACCTATATATACGGCCTGGTATTGAAGCGGGTAAACTGGAATCATAATTGAGGCTACATCCATGATCCCGGTATCATTTTTTCAAGCAGGCCATTTTCCTTTTAGTAAAAATAATCAAAGTGACTGCCTCCCACTGCTGCCGACGCCACCTTTCCCAGGCTCTCCTGTCCAATTGGGGAGCCCGGGAAAGATGCGACCGGCGACATTGGCTCCCCTAAACACACTGAGAGAAACAGATGTTCCTAGCACTGTATGACGCAAAAAAAAATGGAACGATGAGGATTTTGTCACATCCGGTTTTGGTTTGTGTACACACAGTTACTGCCTTCTGAAGCAGCAGATCAATTCGATCTTGGTTTGATCTGCTGCTTTGGAGGCCAGAGGAGAAATCTGGATTCCCAACCCATCTCCCTTCCCAGGAGAAATCAGATTTCCCCATAAAGAGGGCTTGTCATGGCACATGCTTTCACAAGGGGTGTTGTTCATCCCTTGTGAGAACAATAAACGTAATACAAAAAAAAACAGTACAGTGTAAGAAAAAAAAAAATGTGCCCCTAACACCCCGTACTTTTGCAAAGGCTAATGCATGTCAGTCCCACACGCATATGTACACAGCAATCACAGCACAAGCGAGATATCGATATGAACATCAGGGTGAGAGCAAGAATTCTAAGACCAGACCTCCAGTATAACTCTAAACTGGGAACTTGTAAATGCTTTTTTAAAGCATCACCAGTTGCCTGCCGCCCTATAGCAGAAATCATGTATATATGGCAGTTAGTCAGTCCCCCCCCTCGTGTCAGAATGCCCGCTGCAGTCCCGCTATAAGTCACTGACGCCGCTATTACTAGTATAAAGAAAAAATTCTAGTATACAGTCAGGTCCAAAAATATTGGGACATCGACACAATTCTAGCATTTTTGGCTCTATACACCACCACAATGGATTTGAAATGAAACGAACAAGATGTGCTTTGACTGCAAACTGTCAGCTTTAATTTGAGGGTATTTACATCCAAATCAGGTGAACAGTGTAGGAATTACAACAGTTTGCATATGTGCCTCCCACTTGTTAAGGGACCAAAAGTAATGGGACAATTGGCTTCTCAGCTGTTCCATGGACAGGTGTGTGTTATTCCCTCATTATCCCAATTACAATGAGCAGATAAAAGGTCCAGAGTTCATTTCAAGTGTGCTATTTGCATTTGGAATCTGTTGCTGTCAACTTCTCAGTGAAGCAAGCCATCATTAGGCTGAAAAAACAAAACAAACCCATCAGAGAGAAAGCAAAAACATTAGGCGTGGCCAAAACAACTGTTTGGAACATTCTTAAAAAGAAGGAATGCACCGGTGAGCTCAGCAACACCAAAAGACCCGGAAGACCACGGAAAACAACTGTGGTGGATGACCGAAGAATTCTTTCCCTGGTGAAGAAAACACAACAGTTGGCCAGATCAGGAACACTCTCCAGGAGGTAGGTGTATGTGTGTCAAAGTCAATAATCAAGAGAAGAATTCACCAGAGTGAATACAGAGGGTTCACCACAAGATGTAAACCATTGGTGAGCCTCAAAAACGGGAAGGTCAGATTAGAGTTTGCCAAACGACATCTAAAAAAGCCTTCACGGTTCTGGAACAACATCCTATGGACAGATGAGACCGAGATCAACTTGTACCAGAGTGATGGGAAGAGAAGAGTATGGAGAAGGAAAGGAACTGCTCATGATCCTAAGCATACCACCTCATCAGTGAAGCATGGTGGTGGTAGTGTCATGGCGTGGGCATGTATGGCTGCCAATGGAACTGGTTCTCTTGTATTTATTGATGATGTGACTGCTGACAAAAGCAGCAGGATGAATTCTGAAGCGTTTCAGGCAATATTATCTGCTCATATTCAGCCAAATGCTTCAGAACTCATTGGACGCCGCTTCACAGTGCAGATGGACAATGACCCAAAGCATACTGCAAAAGCAACCAAAGAGTTTAAGGGAAAGAAGTGGAATGTTATGCAATGGCCAAGTCAATAACCTGACCTGAATCCGATTGAGCATGCATTTCACTTGCTGAAGACAAAACTGAAGGGAAAATGCCCCAAGAACAAGCAGGAACTGAAGACAGTTGCAGTAGAGGCCTGGCAGAGCATCACCAGGGATGAAACCCAGCGTCTGGTGATGTCTATGCGTTCCAGACTTCAGGCTGTCATTGACTGCAAAGGATTTGCAACCAAGTATTTAAAAGTGAAAGTTTGATTTATGATTATTATTCTGTCCCATTACTTTTGGTCCCTTAACAAGTGGGAGGAACATATGCAAACTGTTGTAATTCCTACACCGTGCACCTGATTTGGATGTAAATACCATCAAATTAAAGCTGACAGTTTGCAGTTAAAGCACATCTTTTTGGTTTAATTTCAAATCCATTGTGGTGGTGTATAGAGCCAAAAATGTTAGAATTGTGTCGATGTCCCAATATTTATGGACCTGACTGTATATACCGCCATTTGCATATGCTATAACTTTCACGTAAACCAATTATTTTATATGTATTATATGTAACTCTTCTCCCCCTAGTGAGTAAAAAGCATATTGCACCTCAATGTGCTTTAAAGTAAAATAAGCTAATAATGATTATTTAATAAAAAGGACAAAATACTTAAAATAAAATTAAAAATACCCATGAAGTCACCCATAACATGGGTTTACAATCTTATTGCATGTATAAACCACCGATCACTCCACGGGAATATCAAATATAAAATATTACATATATATATAATCACTGATGTAAATAGATGCCCATATACTAATCCATTAAAATTATATTTCTTCAATAGTTGGTCATAGAACAGATCCCTACAATTAAAATATTCTATTATATACTCCGCACATAAACGCATGATGAAATAAACTATTGGATAAAAATAATAAAATTAAAATACAATAGAGTAAACAGCCAGATATTACCATGTAAAACTCAAAAATATTAATTATTGCTAATAAAGCAGTTCAAATCAAAATCTACGTTCAGGCCTTTCGGGACCTGAGTCTTTGTGTCAAAAATCCATTTAGATTCTGATTTGCTTAGAGATCTCACTTTATGGTCCCCCCTCCAGTGATCCTTGTATTTCTCTATTCCCCAAAACTTCAGCATAGAGGGGTCTTTATTATGGTGGGTCAAGAAATCCATTTTGATTCTGATTTCGATAGGTCCATTAATATGGAGGATAATATGGAGGATATTTTTAAACAACCTGAGAATGACACAAATGGAGATTTAGATACTTTATACAGGAGGCTTAGACACCTTATGGAAAAAAAAGTATCTGTATGGTGGGATATGACCACCTATGAAAAGTATTTAAAGGATAGGTTGGTTCCTAGGAGATTGAGGTGGGATATCCCTATTTGTGATGGCCTCCTAGATGAAGAATCATCCGAAGAATGGTTTAATTTCTTTAATGAGAAAGGTCTTAAATTGTTAAAATTTTTATTAAAAAGAAAAGAGAAAAAAATGAGGAATTTAAATACACAAGTGGGAGAAATTAAAGAGAAATTGGAACCGTTTAAAGATTCTCAGGAAATGTCCAATATGACTAAACGACTCAATAAAGATTTGGAAAAATTAGAGCAAGAAACTAAATATAAAAAAGGAAAGAAATATTTAAGGGATCGTAATGATTATAAAAAAGATGTGGTTTTCAAATGGCAATCCACTCCTAAGTCATTGGAAGCCGCATCTGTCAATACCACCCCGGTAAAGGAAACCATCATTGAAACCAATAGGATGCCTACTACCTCACAAAATGGCCCATATAGGGATTATAAAAACGCAGAGTATATGTGTAATAATTATCATACGCCGAGGAATGGCTGGAAGCCCAATAAGGGACCATATTCCAAGAAATTTAAAAATAAGGAGAATGGTAATTATTGGAAGGGGCAAAATCCACCATATAGACCATCGTATGCCCCAAGGAATAATTATGTACCACATCCACCTAATTATTATGGAAGACCAGATCAGAGACAATATTATGTACAGAGTCCTAGACAATATCCACAGGATAGATGGTATCAATATGAAAATAGGAGTCCTATACCAGTTTATAATAAGTATGAACCTCTAGATTATGACTATCCAGTAAGGGATTTTTTAGAGAGGGACAGGAGTCCCTTCATAGACAGAGGAAGAAGCCCCCCAAGAGGAGGGGCTGCAGGGCAGGGCGGAAGGCCCAAAAGAAAAAGAGAGTAATTGGGGAGGGGGTTTTTAATTTGAGCGGGTCCAGTATCACAAAAGAAGAAATGCTGGTACTGGACAAAGGACTCAAGTTTGTCCCACCCAAACCAGTTAGTAAATTTGATGTATATATAGATACCCAAAAGTTCATTCAAAAATTAAATATTAAGAAATATTTTATGAGCTTACCAGGAGCTAAGAACGTAACGAGCAATGTTGCGAATAGTAGCATTGTACATTCGAATCTACGGAACAGATCACTTTTTAATCCTCAATTATCTAATAATGGCCAGATAGAAGCTTTCAAGAAAATGGTCAACCAAGATTTGGATAAACTGGTTGTTCCAGAGAAAAAATGTTTTAACAAAAGTTTTAATAACAGTTTGCAGACACGCTTGCCCGACTACGCTTAGTATTGTTTCTATTGTTATCTGTTGGAGGTTTGGGTTGGTTTGTTTGCACTGTGTTGTTGCTTAGTCTTGCACTGCGTCTTTGTTTTGTTTAGTCTTAATAAATTGTCTTTTTCACACTATACCTGAAGTCTGCGTTTCCCTGTGTCAGTCCACACATTTCTGGTCATACCCAGATCCCTAACAGAACACCAAGGCCATTCTTGACCAGAAGTGGCTGCACAGGGAAGCCATCTTGGCTTATTGTTGTCGGGAAGGATGCATCTTGATGAGGTGATATATTTGTCTCTGCTAGTCTTTGAAGACAGAGATTATGCTTATCAGACTCTGAAGGAGTATACCCGGGATCAACTACTAGAGTGCATAAGGATTGCTCATTGTCTAGTAGATCAGGGCACAGAGTTCTCTGAGGTGCAACCATTGATTCAGGTTTGTGCAGAGTTGGCTTCATCTGGTACCCCCCGAATGCAAGGATGAATTTTTGCCGCCATTTAGTGCCGACCAGGTAGAGTCCCTGGTGTGGTTATTGGAGGATGATGTGGATTACTTCTTGGAGCGGTATTCTGCATGTTCACAACAGGTGCTAAGAGATTGTATAAACGCAGTGCAGTCTTTGACCAGACAGGCTTTGTGTAAACTGAGCTTTGTTCAACCCATACTGCAGACATGGTCAGACTTGTTGCACCCAGCCTCAGTCAGCTTGCAACGTCATTCCTCTGCTCAAGGCACTCTTCCTGCATCCCCGACAGCACCCCCAGTGACAGCCCAGTATACTCTAACTACCACATATCAGTCCCCTGCTCCCACTCGCTGCACCTATCCTATCTTTAACCCTGTAAAGAAGTCCTCTGTAGCAACTGCTCCCTCCTTTGTTTCATCCCTCAGCTCTTCTCTGCCTACAGCTGCTCTATCCACTTACAAACCTGCGCTTACTTCCTGTGCTCCAGTAACTAAAACCAGGAAAAAGCAAAAATTCTTTCCAACCAATACCATCCTGCCAGTATCCAAACCTGGTCAGCCTGCCGTCTGAGAACCCGCCTTTCGTGGTTCAGCCTGATACCCTGATGCCCGATAACCCAGTGTACCCTACCCAGCTTGATGACTCAGTGCCCGCTGTCGAGCCAGACGATCCAATGCCAGATGAACCGGTGCCCGCTGTCGAGCCAGATGACCTGATGCCAGATGACCCGATGTCCGCTGTCGAGCCAGATGACCTGATGCCAGATGACCCGATGCCCGCTGCTCCGCCTGATGGCCCGGTGCCCGCTGCCTTGCCTGCTGCCCAGCCTGCCGTGCCTCTTCCTGCTGCCCAGCCTGCAGTGCCTCTGCCTGCTGCCCAGCCTGCCGTGCCTCTGCCTGCTGTCCCGCCTGACGTGCCTCTGCCTGCAGTCCCGCCTGACATGCCTCTGCCTGCTGCCCAGCCTGACGTACCAGCTCCTGATGCCCAGCCTGCTTCTGGAAATCTTGTCTCCAGCAATCTGCCTTCCTGCAGTCTCCTACAAAAAGATAGGTCTATCAGCAGGAGACCCAGCCAATCCCTTGATTCCGGCAGTGGGATGTCCAGCCAGTTGCCGGACCCAGGCGGTGGAACATTTGGGCCATTACGGACTGTTTGGAGCGTCCTGAGGCCGCTCCTTGAGGGGGGAGTACTGTCAGGATAGGACTTGCCAGTGGTGGTGGGACTCACCTGCCTTGTGAGCTGCAGTACCAGGGCTGGCCAGCGGGTGCTCTCAGCAACCAGAGGCTCACTCCTGCAATGAGCCATCACCTGAAGCTGATTACAACAGGTGTATTTAAGGAATGGCCAGGCCTGTGATCAGGGCCTTGGTGTATGTTTCCCATGGGCCCCTGTACCTGCATCCTGTCTGCTTTCTGCCTGATCCAGATTCTGCTTCGATCCCTGACTGTCAGGGCTCCCGGGTATGACCAGAGGTGTGTGACTGACGCAGGGAAACGCAGACTTCAGATATATTATAAACAATATAATTTATTAACACTAACAATACAAACATAAACGCAGTGCAATACTAAAACATAACACAGTGCAAACAAACCAAACCAACCACCCACAGATAACAGTACATACAATGCAAGCGTCGTCAGGCAGGCCGGGTCAATATCAATCGGGCAGGTAGGTACAGGGGGAGCAAGCAGAGAATGGTCGGGGTCACAAGCCAGGTTCAGCAGGTAGCGGGCAGCGTGGTACAGAGGGTCAGGCAGAGGGATGGTCAGGAACGAGCCGGGGTCAGAGCAGTCCAGATCAGGCAGGGTCAGCAACAAGACAGGAACAGGATGCAGGAACAGGATACAGGGCCCAGGAAAAACACACACACCAAGGCCGAGTCTGCAGGTCTGGCCATCCCTTAAATAAACCAGTATAAGCAGTTTCAGGTGTTTGGCTGGCTGCAAGGTTGAGTCTCTGATTGCTGGGAGCACCCGCTGGCCAGCCCTGGTACTGCAGCCCATAAGGCAGGTGAGTCCCACCATTGCTGGCCAGTCCATTCCTGACAGTACCCCCCCCCCCCCCCCCTCAAGGAGCGGCCTCAGGACGCTCCAAACAGTCCTAGCTGGGCAAAGTGTTCCACCGCCCGGGTCTGGTAACTGGCGGGATATCAAAGACTGGCACACCGGGCAGGACTCCGGGCAGCGGCACACTGGGCAGGACTCCGGGCAGAGGCCCATCGGGCAGCGGCACAGCGGGCAGAGGCACACCGGGCAGAGGCACATCGGGCAGAGGCACTCCGGGCAGAGGCACATCGGGCAGAGGCACTCCGGGCAGAGGTACATCGGGCTGCACTCCGGGCAGAGGCACATCGGGCTGGACTCCGGGCAGAGGCACATCGGGCTGGACTCCGGGCAGAGGCACATCGGGCTAGACTCCGGGCAGAGGCACATCGGGCTGGACTCCGGGCAGAGGCACATCGGATCACCAGGCGAAGCAGCAGGCACCGGGGCCACCAGGTGGAGCAGCAGGCACCGGGCCCCCAGGCAGGGCGACAGGCACCGGGCCCCCAGGCGGGGCGACAGGCATCGGGCCCCCAGGCGGAGCGGCGGGCGCCGGACCCCAGGCGGAGCGGCAGGCGCCGGGCCCCCAGGCAGAGCAGCGGGCGCCGGACCCCCCCAGGCGGAGCGACAGGTCTCGGGCCCCCAGGCGGAGCGGCGGGCGCCAGACCCCCAGGCGGAGCGACAGGTCTTGGGCCCCCAGGCGGAGCGGCGGGCGCCGACCCCCAGACGGAGCGACAGGTCCTCGGGCCCCCAGGCGGAGCGGCGGGCGCCGGACCCCCAGACGGAGCGACAGGTCTCGGGCCCCCAGGCGGAGCGGCGGGCGCCGGACACCCAGGCGGAGCGACAGGTCTCGGGCCCCCAGGCGGAGCGGCGGGCGCCGGACCCCCAGGTGGAGCGACAGGCATCGGGCCCCCAGACGGGGCGACAGGCATCGGGCCCCCAGGCGGGGGAACAGGCATCGGGCCCCCAGGCGGAGCGGCGGGCGCCGGGCCCCCAGGAGGGGCGACAGGCATCGGGCCCCCAGGAGGGGCGACAGGCATCGGGCCCCCAGGCGGAGCGGCGGGCGCCGGACCCCCAGGCGGAGCGACAGGTCTCGGGCCCCAGGCGGAGCGGCGGGCGCCGGACCCCCAGGCGGAGCGACAGGTCTCGGGCCCCCAGCGGAGCGGCGGGCGCCGGACCGGACCCCAGGCGGAGCGACAGGTCTCGGCCCCCAGGCAGAGCGGCGGGCGCCGGACCCCCAGGCGGAGCGACAGGCACCGAGTCACCAGGCACAACAGTGGGCTCCGAGTCAACTGGCATGACCGCTGGCACTGGGTCAGACATTGGATCGTCTGGCTGGACAGCAGGCATCGGGTCACCAGGCATCAGGTCATTTGGCTCGACAGCGGGCACCGCGTCATCTGGCAAGGCAGTGGGCTCCAAGTCAACTGGCATGACTGCGGGCACTGGGTCAGACATTGGATCGTCTGGCTGGACAGCGGGCATCGGGTCACCAGGCATCAGGTCATTTGGCTCGACAGCGAGCACCGCGTCATCTGGCAAGGCAGTAGGCTCCGAGTCAACTGGCATGACCGCGGGCACTGGGTCAGACATTGGATCGTCTGGCTGGACAGCGGGCATCGGGTCACCAGGCATCAGGTCATTTGGCTCGACAGCAGGCACTGCGTCATCTGGCAAGGCAGTGAGCACCACGTCACCAGGCACGACAGTGGGCTCTGAGTCAATTGGCACGACAGCGGGGCACCGGGTCATCAGGTACCGGATTTTCTAGCTCGACAGCGGGTATCGGGTCACCAGGTATGACAGCGAGCACTGGGTCACCAGGCATCAGGTCATTTGGCTCGCCAGCGGGCACCGCGTCATCTGGCAAGGCAGTGGGCACCGAGTCACCAGGCACGACAGCGGGCTCTGAGTCAATTGGCACGACAGCGGGCACCGGATCAGGTACCGGATCGTCTGGATCAACAGCGGGCATCGAGTCAACTGGCCTAATAGGATCATCAGGCTGGATCAGTTCATCAGGCTGGGTAGAGGCATCAGGCTGAATGGAGGCATCAGGCTGAGTGGAGGCATCAGGCTGAGTAGAGAGGCATCAGGCTGAGTAGAGGCATCAGGCTGAGTAGAGGCATCAGGCTGAGTAGAGGCATCAATCTGAGTAGAGGCAACAGGCTGAGTAGAGGCATCAGGCTGAGTAGAGGCATCAGGCTGAGTAGAGGCATCAGGCTGAATACAGGCAACAGGGTGGGTACAGGCATCAGGCTGGGTACAGGCATCAGGCTGGGTACAGGCATCAGGCTGGGTACAGACCTCAGGTTCTCAGACGGCAGGCTCACCGGTTTGGATACTGGCAGGATGGTATTGGTTGGAAAGAATTTTCGCTTTTTTCTGGTTTTAACTACTGGAGCACTGCAAGTAAACGCAGGTCTGCAAACGAATGGAGCAGCTGGAGACAGAGAAGAGCTGGAGGATGGAACAGGGGAGGGAACAGTTGCTACATAGGGCTTTTTTACAGGGTTAAAGGCAGGATAGGTGCAGTGAGTGGGAACAGGGTACTGACATGCGGTAGATAGCAGGGCAGGAGGAGCTGTTGGGAATGCAGGAATAGAGCTTTGAGGAAATAGATTAGAAGCAGGACTGGGTTTTTGTAAGCTGACTGAGGCTGGGTGCAACAAATCTTTCCATGTCTGCAGTATGGGTTGAACAAAGCTCAGCTTACACAAAGCCTGTCTGGTCAATGACTGCACTGCGTTTATACAATCTCTTAGTATCTGTGGTGAACATGCAGAATAACGCTCCAGAAAGTAATCCACATCATCCTCTAATAAACCATACCAGGGACTCTACCTGGTCGGCACTAAATGGCGGCAAAAATTCCCTGCATTCGGGGGGTACCAGATGAAACCAACTCCGCACAAACCTGAATCAATGGCTGCACCTCAGAGAATTCTGTGCCCTGATCTACTAGAACATGAGCGAGCCGTATACATTCTAGCAGTTCATCCCGGGGATACTCCTTCAGAGTCTGATAAGCATACTCTCTGTCATCAAACACTAGCAGATATAAATACACAACCTCATCAAGATCCATCCTTCCCATCAACAAACCAAGATGGCTTCCCTGTGCAGCCACTTCTGGTCAGGATTGGCCTTGGTGTAATGTCAGGGCTCCCGGGTATGACCAGAGGTGTGTGACTGACGCAGGGAAACGCAGACTTCAGATATATTATATAAACAATATAATTTATTAACACTAACAATACAAACATAAACGCAGTGCAATACTAAAACATAACACAGTGCAAACAAACCAAACCAACACCCACAGAGAACAGTACATACAATGCAAGCGTCGTCAGGCAGGCCGGGTCAATATCAATCGGGCAGGTAGGTACAGGGGGAGCAAGCGGAGAATGGTCGGGGTCACAAGCCAGGTTCAGCAGGTAGCGGGCAGCGTGGTACAGAGGGTCAGGCAGAGGGATGGTCAGGAACGAGCCGGGGTCAGAGCAGGAGAAGTCAGCAGAGGTCCAGATCAGGCAGGGTCAGCAACAAGACAGGAACAGGATGCAGGAACAGGATACAGGGCCCAGGAAAAACACACACCAAGGCCGAGTCTGCAGGTCTGGCCATCCGTTAAATACACCAGTATAAACAGTTTCAGGTGTTTGGCTGGCTGCAAGGTTGAGTCTCTGATTGCTGGGAGCACCCGCTGGCCAGCCCTGGTACTGCAGCCCATAAGGCAGCTGAGTCCCACCATTGCTGGCCAGTCCATTCCTGACACTGACTCTGCATGAACTCCACCTGTCCTGACCTCGGCTATTCCTGACTACTCTTCCGCCTGCTCCTTGTGCCCTGCCTGCCCGTTTGCTACCGACCCGGCCTGCCCGACTACGCTTAGTATTGTTTCTATTGTTATCTGTTGGAGGTTTGGGTTGGTTTGTTTGCACTGTGTTGTTGCTTAGTCTTGCACTGCGTCTATGTTTTGTTTAGTCTTAGTAAATTGTCTTATTCACACTATACCTGAAGTCTGCGTTTCCCTGTGTCAGTCCACACATTTCTGGTCATACCCGGATCCCTAACAGGGATTAAGAGGCTTATGAAAAGAGATGATATAATCGTTCGACCTGCAGATAAGGGAGGAGGCATTGTGATTTTGTCTAAGGATTACTACCTTGGAGAATTGAACACACAGTTAGCGGATGTATTGACGTATAAAGTCCTTCCCAAAGATCCAACATCTCTGTATAAGAAAGAATTGACCAATTTGGTGAAAAGAGGGAAAGAGATGAAGATTTTAGATCATAAAGAAGCCAAATTCTTAATACCTGAGTCTTGTAGAATTCCCGTAATCTATACGATCCCCAAGCTACATAAAGATCAGGTGAACCCTCCAGGTCGCCCGATAGTCAATGGGATCGAATAAATTTTAGCAAGATTGGGGAATTATATTGATACATTTCTTCAGCCGCTGGTCAAAAAACTAATTCCTATCTACGTGACACCAAACATTTGATACAAGAACTAGAAAATATTCAAGGAGGTCCTGATGTATATTTGGTTAGTGCAGCCGTTGCATCCCTATACACAATAATAGGACATGAGGAAGCCATTGAGTCTGTGAGTTGGGGTCTTAGTGAATTACCCTGGAAACAGAAAAAATACTTGATTGAGTGTCTTGATTTTAGTCTATCACACAATTATTTCCGGCATGCGAACCAATTCTTCCAACAAATCAAAGGTGTGGCCATGGGAGCAAGATTTGCCCCTAGTGTGGCAAATCTATTCATGGCGCACTGGGAAGAAGAAACGATTTATTCACAGCACAATGAAGAATTACTGTTATATAAACGTTTCATTGATGATGTGTTTATTGTGTGGAAGGGAACTTTTGAGTCCCTGCAGGAATTTCTGGGCATTCTGAACAATAAGAAGAAGAATATCAAATTAGCGTGGGAAATCGGAAGTGAATCTATTAATTTCCTTGACTTGAATATTAAAATTGCTGATAATAAACTCATCACTAAAACTTACTTTAAACGGGTGGATCGGAACGGGTATATACCTGTAGGAAGTTGCCATTATCCCCCGTGGCTGAATAAATATTCCGAAGGGCAATTTGTCCGACTTTGGAGAAATTGCACTTTAAAGGTTGAGTACTTGGAACAAAGTAATTTGATTGGTGAGAGATTCCTTAAGAAGAGATACCCACATGACTTTATAGAAAAAAATAAGAAAGATATAGGGGATATAGATAGGTGTAATTTTTTGAAGGATAAAATTAGAACAAATAAAGATCAAGACCAGTTGGCTGTAATTTTGGATTTTAATTTACATTTTAAAATGGTAGAAAAAATTTTTTAAAAAACATTGGCCTCTTCTAAAAGCAGACCCTGTTTTAGGCACTATTTTATCAGATCGTCCTAAAATTTAATTATAGGAAGGCACCCTCAATTAGGACGAAAGTAGTAAAAAATGTAACAAATTCCACACCCAATAAGAAAACGGTAACATTTTTAGACCAGGTTGTTTTTTTCCCGTTGTAGAAATTGCTACGCATTTAAAGAAACAAAGGGAAATTAACAAGGAAAAACTGTCATTTCAGTCTAAAGTCACAGGGTGTGAGTATAATATCCGTGACGTTATCTCTTGCAGAACAGAAGGGGTGGTGTACTGCTTAGAATGTTCATGTGGTCTCCAATACGTGGGGAGGACCAAGAGACCTCTTTGGAAGCGAATACCGAGAGCATATACAAAAAATTAAGAAGGGATCAGTGAAACAGTGTGCATAGGCATTTCTTGACCCACCATAATAAAGACCCCCTCTATGCTGAAGTTTTGGGGAATAGAGAAATACAAGGGTCACTGGAGGGGGGACCATAAAGTGATGTCTCTAAGCAAATCAGAAATGGATTTTTGACATGAAGACTCAGGTCCCGAAAGGCCTGAACGTAGATTTTGATTTGAACTGCTTTGTTAGCAATAATTAATATTTTTGAGTTTTACATGGTAATATATCTGGCTGTTTACTCTATTGTATTTTAATTTTTTTATTTTTATCCAATAGTTTATTTCATCATGCGTTTATGTGCGGAGTATATAATAGAATATTTTAATTGTAGGGATCTGTTCTATGACCAACTATTGAAGAAATATAATTTTAATGGATTAGTATATGGGCATCTATTTACATCAGCAATTATATATATGTAATATTTTATATTTGATATTCCCGTGGAGTGATCGGTGGTTTATACATGCAATAAGATTGTAAACCCATGTTATGGGTGACTTCATGGGTATTTTTTATTTTATTTTAAGTATTTTGTCCTTTTTATTAAATAATAATTATTAGCTTATTTAACTTTAAAGCACATTGAGGTGCAATATGCTTTTTACTCACTAGGGGGGGGAAGAGTTATTTGGGATGGTTTATTTTATCTATTTAGGACATCCCACTAGTAGTATATTAATATATGGGTCCCCCGGTTTTAAGTAGGTTTAGGTTGTCCCATTTGATTAAATAAATCGATTTTATGTGGAGTTTTTGTTTGTAGTCCATATGTTGGTGGACTACAAGTATTCGTATTAGGTAAGAGCATAGTGGGGGAGGTTTCGATAATGTGGCCTGGTGCTTTCCATCTTCCGTTTGTATAATATGGTCACCGCAGTAATGGCCGACATCAGTGATATGAGTGGGGACTTCGGGAAAATGGCCACTCGGGTCCGCCCTTACATGTGATTGGGTGCAGAGTTCTATTTAAGGGATCCGGTCCTCGGTGGGCGTTAACCCTGAGGAAGTCACGTGTCTATCGTGACGCAATGCATCGGTACGCGAGGAGGATTCTGGGAGCGCGGTGACGTCATTTCCGGCGTTTAGCGGCCATATCTGAAACCCCTATATTAAATACCCATGCAAGGCATTCATAAGCATGTGGTATAGGAGCCTGATATTGAAGATTTATATGTGAGTGGGCATTCTTATTGCATATAC